CTTCAGCTTCTTAGAGGGCCTGGCTCTTGTGAAAGCTTTAGCTTCAATCTGTCTGTGTTGGAATTTCTGTATCCTGAGAAGTGGAAGCATTCAGGAGAGTGTCTGCAGGGACATTCAGCACTCTGCAGCAACCTACCTTCATAAATCCATCTTGTACAAGCAGTTGATTACTATTCTGGAACACTGCAAATTTTCAGACACAGTTATGTCCCACCTTTTGCAACATTCTGAATTCTTTTCTTGTTCTGTGCCTTCCCCATGTCCCCCAAAGCACAGAGGAAGAGGGCTGCATTTCTTTCCAATGTAGTCATTAGGAAGAGGGAATCAACAGGGCAATCCATGACTTGTTCAGCAAACAGTGACAATAATTACACTTTCCTCTGTGGTAAAAGCCTGGAAAAGCTGTCAGCCACCACAAAGGATCATTAGTTGCTTGGTCTAAAGAACAGAAGCTACCCCTAAATTTTTTTAGAAAGTGCCAAACAGTTCAAGCTGGCTTACATAAATCATGTGGGGTATTACAATGCTGAATGTAAAACTCACCAGTCACTTTTCCTTCTATTCCAGTTCCTCTTAGCAGTGACTTACAAGTAAATACTTGGGCAATCTCTCACAGTGCTAGGATTTCATGCTTTCTGCAGAGCATTTTAAATGATGTTTCGTTCTTTCCCTGTGTGGAATGTTCAGAAACTAACTAGGATAAAGCTATACACATATTTTTTAAATCACCACAAACAAAACTAAACTAAAATTTTCACTACTACATAAAGTGGTGAGTCTGAAAAGAGCAGCAAATGGTTTGCCAGAGTTTATTAAGGATTTAATTTATCAATGGAAGGAAGAGGTAAGCTTATTTACTTCTCCTAAATGTAGAGCTTCCCTGAGCCACCTAGCTCAGACAGAATTAATACCCTGCTAAACTGCAGTGATAGGCAGGAATACAAACCATTAAAATAGAGTAAAGCTAATCCACAGTTGGGAGATCAATCAGATTTGCAATGCATGAGCATTTTTTTTTCTGTACTCTTTGCTTTTCCCCTCTGAGCCACAAATGTCAGCAATCTCCAAGTCAAATTTGCTTATTCTAAATCAGCCACAAACACAGCCAAAATGAAGTTTTGTCAGGAATTTACATGTGGAAAATTCCAAGAACCATGAAGAACAACAAAAATATCACACTAGCATCACCTAACCAAGGAAAATAATTTAGCTTGGGCAAAATCTTTCCACTTGAAATGAATAATCTGAATTTAAATAAAAAAAAAGAAAACAAAAACACCCAACAACAACAACAACAAAAAAAGAAACCCCAACCCAACAAAAGAGCAGAAAAAGTCATGTGAAGGATTGAATTATTGGGAGATTTTTATAACATTCTCCAACAGGCCAAAGAAAGAGCTGCTTATGCTGAAGTAGCTTCTGCTGAGGTCCACAGAATGCTGTGCCCCCCAGGAACCCGGAATTTGAGTCAGTATTCTCTCAGACAGAACACATATGCTGAAATCATGTCTGCAATCTAAGTCCCCTCTATAGATAATTTACTCACTGGGCAGCACTGAGTAAGCACTTGTTCTGCTTTGTGAATTGCATTGTGGAACTTCTAGAGGCAGGGCCAGAAACACCAGAATTACTTGCTTTGAAAATATGAAAAGATAAACATTTTAATGTTTTACATTTTCCTCTCCTTTTTACAGATTTAACAACACCCATGCCAAATAAATCTCAAATTATCTGCAGTTCAGACAGGCACAGTGTTCCATTGTGGGCAAAGAGTCATTCATCAAATGCAATACTCCCCAGACCTGCAAACAAACATACTTTTAATGTGTCTGATAACAATATTACAGCCAAGGCCATAAACCAGCTGCAGTTTTCCAAGTATACCCATTTCTCCTATTAGAATAGTGCTTTAGACTATGGTCCAAGGTGCTGGACTTCATGGACAGCCTGACAATTTTTAGTCATGGACTGGAACTTTTTGAACAGCACTTTGAAACTGCAAGGTTGGAGGAATTCTCTGAAAACTGTAATCTCACCAATCTTTGTGTTTTCTGTCAAAGTTTTGCACCCAGAAAAATATAAAGATTTGTTCTGAAACCTTTTTCCTTTTGCAGCAAATAATCTGCAAAGCATAAATCAAACTATAGTTTGAATTTCAAAGTTAACATCTTTCCCACCAAATCCATATTTCACATGAAGTTCAGGAAAATACATTTCAATATTTTTCTCATTAATGGAGAAACAGAGAAGAAAACCAGCTCATTTTAGCTTCTCCAGCTCTCAGGTCCCCAGCCCTTCCTTTCTGTGAGCAGCATGACATTAAAGAGAGCCTGCAGGAACTCCAGCCTTACATTTCCCCCCTCATCACCTGCTCTAACTTGTGTGTTTTGCTAGTGCCACTTCGTTTTGAGACTGAGCAGAGCAGGGATTGCATGCAGCTGCATGTTGGCATGAATAATGTTTCTGGCTTTTGAGCTGAGCCTTGTCAGGGCTTTGCTCACCACTCTATGGGCTCCTGTGTTGCCCCGTGTGTGGATTCCAGGTGCCATGAGAAATCTGCTCAATGGCATCTGTTTAATAATATTTTTACTGCTTTTAAAAGCAAATCCTATGCTGAGGGAAGGCAAAATTGCACAGCAATTTTTTATCCAGAAAGGTCTGAGCTCTGAGATCCATCTACATTAAGTTAGTATTTATTCAGGTATGACAGTAATTGTATGGTAACTGAACATCTTTGATTTCCCCCCCGCCACCAAAAGCAAAACATTGCTGCAAGCAACAGTCTAGATTTAGGTGAACTCATACTGTGACAAACTAAGAATGGAGAAAACACATTTCTTGTCCATAAAAGGACAGCTCACACATCCACAGAGGGTAGCTCTGATTTTGCTGCTGTTCCAAACTGTGTAGTGGGGACTAAATCTTGCAAAAAGGAGTTTTGTTTAGAGTGGATAGAAGGTTCTTCAGTTAAAGGTTTTTTCTTCTTTTTTTTTTACCCTTGCCTTCTGAAACAGAAAATGGCTCACCCTCTTAAGCAGAAAATGGTGATTTTTTTTTAAGTGGAATTTTTTCTGTTCAGGAGGGAGGGGGATCCTTCCCCATATCTCAGCACTGGAGAGGCACATCTGGAGTGCTGTGTCCAGTTCTGGTCTCCTTAATACAGAAGCAAATCCATGAAAATTATTAAGGATTAGAGCAACTGTACCAAGAGGAGAGGCTGAGAGAGCTAGGGCAGTTCATGCTGCAGAAGAGAAGTCCCAGGGGGATTTTACTGAAGTGTAAGAATACCTGACAGGAGGTATTAATAAAGATGGAGCCAGGCTCTACTCAGGTGCGTCCATGAAAGGACAGGAGGCAATGGGAAAAAATTGAGATATAGGAAACATGCTGACAGATGAAATGTATTTTTTTTTTTTTAAGTTTAAGGGTGGTGAAACACTGGAACAGGTTGTCTAGAGGGTTGTGGAGTCTCCATCCATGGAGATATTCCAAACCTCAGTAGGCACACCTCTCTGCAAGCTGCTCTGGCTGACACTCCTGTGAGCAGTGAGATTGGCCAGGATTATGTCCTCAGGATCCTCCCAATTCCATCTGTCCATGATCTATGACTCTGTGCCTTCATCCCAGAATGCCAGAGGTCTCTGACATGTGGTGGATGTGTTTGAAGAGCAGGAAAATCAAATTCAAGGCTTTCCTGAGTCACTTGAAGCAGTACTACAGTCAGGGTTTATCACAGACTGTGAGGGTGGTCTTAGATGAGTTTTGTGTTTTCTCCTTCAATCCACTACTTGTGCAGCAAATTTATAAACAGGTGTGCTCTGAAGTGAATGGTTCACATCCATGACTTACGATTTTACGTTGAAAATTGATTTAGTTTAAATATTAATGCGAATACCAAATATACAGGTGTCCAAATATACAAGGAGAAAAACCACCTCCCAGGAGCTGAGAGCTCCTGACTCTCAACTACACAAACAAGATGACACAAAGGCTTAAAAAGAAGTGAAAAATGAGCTTCTAGAATATGGACAGAAAGTTGAATTGATAGGAGACCACAGGAAACCATATAGAGGACTGCATGGCAAAGTACCATGAAGCAGCACATTTATAGGAATGGTTTTCAAAATACGGAATCTCTGAACAAGATTTTTGCATTTTAGGAGATGGTAGGGAGAGGGATGTCCTCACTCTGTCCTTGAATATTTCTAATTGATGTCAATTATGTTTCACTTTATATAAATGTAATAAAGCAACATCTTTAAAAATCACCAAAAAGAAGTCCCCAGTCTTGGAAACAACACCCACAAAATGGTCAATGTGTCTATCTGAATTCCACACTTGTATTACAGACACCTAATAACCACTTCCTGATTTGGCTGCATCATTTTACTTCAAGAACCCTTTCCCTTACCAGAGAGAGAAAGAGAACGAAAGCACTATTGAAACACAGAATTTATTTCCTTATGGTAACATTGAATAGAAGCCACTTGATAAATATGAATTAGGTGGGTCTGAGAGATCTCAGCACACAAAACCTGACAACAGTTAGCAAAGAACTTTTTCATTTGACACAGTGAGACAGTTTTCTACTCTGCCTGATCCTGCAATTTTGAAACTAAATTTCTCTGTGGAATAAACTCTGTGGAAGTAACTTGGTCTCTCTCTCTCTGCTGCCAAGCCCTGGCCATACTACCCCAAGAACCACCTACCTCTGCAGAGAAAGGGCTTAACTGATATATATGCCACTATGCATGGAAAGGGGAGAAGCAAGGCCTAAAATATAGATGAAATATTGAAAAAAAATTAGAAGAGAGTTGCACTCATTATAAAGTATAACAAATAGCATCTTCAAAGAAACACACAGCCTATTTCAATGCCTCTATATATGTATCTTTAAAGACATTAGATGTTACTAAAAAACATCCAAATTTTCATGTTTATAGCCTCTAGCAAACCTCCCTCTTGGACTGTTTTAACACTGACTCTCTGTTTCTTTGCAGATCTTACAGGTGAACAAGGTGATGTCCATCTTGTTTTATGTGATATTTCTCGCTTACCTTCGTGGCATCCAGTCTTCCAACATGGATCAAAGGAGTTTGCCAGAAGATTCAATAAATTCTCTTATTATTAAACTCATTCAGGCAGACATTTTAAAAAACAAGCTTTCTAAGCAGATGGTAGACATTAAGGAAAACTATCAAAACACGGTGCAGAAAACAGACACTCAGCAAGACATGGATGGAGAGGAAAATGTGAAATCAGACTTCCAGCCAGTTATCTCAGTGGATACAGATCTCTTGAGGCAGCAGAGACGCTACAACTCCCCCCGAGTCCTCCTGAGTGACAACACGCCACTGGAGCCACCGCCACTGTACCTCATGGAGGATTACATCGGGAATTCCGTGGTGGTGAACAGAACCTCCCGTCGGAAAAGGTACGCGGAGCACAGGGGCCACCGGGGGGAATACTCCGTTTGTGACAGTGAAAGTTTGTGGGTCACGGACAAATCCTCTGCCATCGACATCAGGGGACACCAGGTGACTGTTCTGGGAGAAATTAAAACGGGCAACTCTCCGGTTAAGCAATACTTTTATGAAACAAGGTGTAAAGAGGCCAAACCGGTAAAAAACGGCTGCCGCGGCATCGATGACAAGCACTGGAACTCCCAATGCAAGACATCCCAAACTTATGTCAGAGCACTGACTTCAGAAAACAACAAACTGGTGGGCTGGAGGTGGATAAGGATAGACACCTCCTGCGTGTGCGCCTTGTCCAGGAAAATAGGAAGAACATAGATCTGCATCTCTTTGCTATATAAATTATTACATTAAATTATATGATATGCATGTAGCATATAAATGTTTATATTGTTTTATATATATTATAAGTTGACCTTATTTATTAAACTTCAGCAAATCTACAGTATATAAGCTTTCTCTCTCAATAAACAAGAGCAAAGGGTGTGTGCCTCTGCCGTGGCCAACTCTGGGGTTTTTTAGACTCTTTGTGACACTGCTTGTCGGCAGCATACCATAACTTTCCTGTAAAATCTGTAAAATCAGTATTTTTCATTCAGTATTGTCAAACCAGTGACTGTCATTTAGTAAACTTGTTAAAAATCAGATCAGTTCCAAGACTTGTGTACATATTTATATTCCCTGCTCTATACATTCATATTTAATTGGATCTGCAGTGTTGACTCCTCACCGCCAAAAAAAAAAAAATAGGACCAAAATATGTGTTGTAGCCTGCAGATGATGTCAAATTTTCAGGCATCAGGTAGCCCTAAAATAAAGTTTCTATGTATTACGCTAGTTTTGCCGGTGAAATGACCATTTGTCCTCTGTTAGCAATCCAGAATAGTTGCTAGTATTCCAGGAACATCCATTTGTGTTTTGGAAGCACATTTGTTTTGCAACTGTTTCTAACGCTGACAGTGCATCATTGAAAAAATATGAAAAAAATCTGAAATATTTGTAGCTGAAACTTGGTGAAGCCAAGAACTGGTCTAAATGGATCATTACTATAGTACATAAAAGATGGTTTGTTGTGATCAGCCTCTTCCTCCTCACATGAATCAATTATCTTCTGCTTGCATTGTTGGATCATTCCTCTCTGTCTGAGTTTTTAAATTAGAAACAAAGCTGGAGGTGTCTTAACCTTAAAAGAGCCCTAGGCTTGCAAATAATGGTAAAGAAAGATATGATATCCTGACATGGATATCAAAGCCACATGCCCATACGAAGGTTTCCTTCTCCTCAGCAATCCGTTCTCCATCTTTCACAGGGGGGGAAATGTTTTGAACTGCTTGAGAAGCCTGATACCTTTCACAGGAACATGAAATGGATGGTGGATAAAATCCATGAAGTCTGTAGTCATACTGAAGTTCCCCAATTAAACATGAGTTGTTGCTTAGGAGAGACAAATGTGCTAGCATGTATTTACCTCAGACTCTTCTGTGGATTGTCATATAGCTCCACTGGGGACAGGAATAATGACACTTTTTGAAGAGATGTCCCATTAGACATTAGCTGTACAATGTCCTGGATAAGATCCCAGTCCCAGGAAGTAAATGAAAGCTCATGGCTAGGAACAGAATTCAGATTGGGCTGCACATTATCTATGTCCAGATAGATCCAACTCACAGCCAGGGCTGGGAAATACCAGTTATTCAGGAAGTTTTACCCTCATGTTTTTTCTGAGGGTTTTACAGCTACAGCTTGTGCTGCTGTAGCATGTTCAGCATCGCAAATGGAGACGAGATCAGAGCCCTCAAACATGAGGTTGCAGGATGCCTTTGCTCATGCAGCTTTCACTCCTGGAAAGCCAGCTTCAAATCTGCAACAGGTCATGAAAGGCAGCAAATTGTGGGGTCTTCTCTAATCCCTTACAGAGAGTGCTGCACACCATAAAACCACCAGGGAGCTGGACAGGTTGCCTTGAGGCCAAGCACTGGAACAGTCCTGTCTTGGAAAGCCAGGTTGGAGCATGTGGGTATTTTCTTCAGGGGAGGCCAGAACCATAGATTTTGAGAACCATCTTAATTTTCACCATAAGGCCACACATATTTACCTCACAGAAAATATTGTCACCTTCAGCACTAAATTATAGCTTTGGTTCAATCAATTTGGTTCAAGCAACCTCAGAGGTTCAATACCAAGGCAGTCATTAAAATGAGAGGATGTAATATAATATAACAAGGATCTGATAGATCTGATTAGAATATTTCTCATTTCTTGGCAAAAATTTTAAAAAGAAAAAAAGCCCAACCCCACAGAGCATTTGCTACTTTTCCTAGTAGGAAAGTTTAACTAACCATTTTGGCTTGGGAAAATAAGCATATTTTAAAGCATATTTTTCTGCCACACTGGATTGTTTTGTAAATTAAAAGCTTGATTTTACACCCTGAGTTCCCAAATAAAGATCATTTGCAGATGCTGGGAGCAGCTGAGAGCTGATATAGTTATGGATCACTAACTTTAGAGATCTCTTTGTGTCACTGTGCCACATAGGTCTATCTCCATGCGAGAAGTGGAGGTAAGAAGACCAATTTAGCTTGGTGGAATCCCATTAATTAGAAACTACCTAGTTCCTGCAGTGTGGATGTCACTTTTGTTTACATAAATCCATTTCTCCAGATTTTGTTACTGTAAATCCAGAGAAAATCTGTTGAAGATGGGAATAAAATGTAGCTTTGTAACAATGTAGACAACATCAGAGTTGATTCTGATGCCTTTATTTCTGCTCACTGAAAATCAAGGGAGGCGCATTCTTTAAAGGTTCAAAGAAAGCCATTTGTCATTTTCCACTGTAAATCCAGTAACAGGAACTGGTCTTTGCCTTTTGACTTTAACAATTATTTTACAAGCAGCCAGCAAAAATATCTCAGAGTAAATATGTCTGTCATCTGAAACACATGAGATGAGAACGGAGCGTGGTGTGTACGGTTATTAGACCGGCTGCCTCTTTCCCACCCCAGGAAAACAATGAGCGGAAGTGTTACCCCCTGGATCTGATCCAGCTTCCACTAAAGTCAGTGGGGGAAGAAAAAAAAAAATCTCACCTTCTCTGGTGGAAATTGGATCAGGCCCCAAGTGAAGAAAAACCTGCAGATCTCGACCAGAGAGCAAAGCAATCTCGCACATCAGTAACACGTTCCTGTAAATCCTGTGTACCCATAAGATGCTGTATTATTTTGTAACAAGTTTGTAAACAAAGCCTGTAATAAATTTGTTAAGGTCTAATTCTCTTTTCACTGTAGCCAGGGATGGTTTTATTGTCGACTTTGGTCATGGCATAATGAATTGAAAATTCCTACCCAAGTCTTTTTTTTTGTTTGTGTTAAGTAATTAAACAAAATATTCAGTTCTCAACGCCAGTTTAATTTAAGCATTCTAAAAATCACTTCCATTAGGCAGCTCAGATGCTCTGTCAATATTGTTTTGCCAATAGATCATTATAAACACACATTTTATTTAGATTTTCTCCCAAATGACCAAATGCTATTCTGAAATTGCCTGTCTGTGTCAAACTGTATTTTCTCTGCTTTTTCCCCCTAGTTTTTTCCAGTCCATTTAGTAACAGCAAAAAATGCTCCACTGAGGTTTTGGAAAACCATCTGCATTTATTTTATCACCTTTGAACATGTGTTCAGGAATGAAGTCTGTGCAGGGAGTTTACTGCTACCAAGAGATTTGTGCGGCTGCACCAGGAAGAAACTTTGACTGGACTTTACAGAGTGTGTGCTCAAAACCACTCTGCTCATACTCTGTTATTTCAATTCTTTAGTAACCCAAGGCTTTTGCATTGTGTATCTGCAGACAATACCAAACAGGAAACGAGCCTGATCAGGAGTTTCAAAATTAAAAATTGCATTATAACGACCTGCTATCTCTGACCTCTCGGCGAATGCATTTGCGCAGTGAAGTCAAGCGCAGGAACATTTGTTTCATTTAATAGAAACATTGTGGCAAAAGCAATGGGATTCTGTGCTTTCCATGCTTGTTAAATTTGTGTAGTTCATCATGGATGTGGGGCAGGAGGAGGAGGAAGAGGAGGAGGAGCAGGATCAGATAATAAGCACTACAGCTTGTGAGAAGTAAAAGGTTGTGCTCCGGCTTGGAGCATTTTAAAGTGTGGAGGGGTTGTTCTCTGAAATGCTTTGTCTGTATTTTGTTACAGCAGTTGGCAGAATGACGAAGCAAGCACAGATGTGGTGTAAAAAAACACAAGCAATATGAGGATGACAAAAAACTTTCCCGGGAAAGTCAGCCACTCACTACCACAGTGAGTCCCTGCAGTTCTGGGCAGGTGATCACAGAGTTCAGCAATGACATCCCTAGTTTAAAGATTTAGCTAATCTCTCTGGGGTAAAAAAAAAAAAAAAAAAAATTTTTTTCCTGCAGCACGTTACATTCATGACCTGGATAACTTTCTTTCCCTTTTTCTTCTTGTTCCTTTGAGGGTTTTTTTTGTTTGTTTGTTTGTTTTTGGTAATCTCTAGCTGCTTTAGCACCTCTGATGAACAACAAATGGTAATGCTTTGCATGAATGTCCCCAAATATAGATTTCTCCTTTGTTCTAGGGCTGAGCTTTGAAGCCAGTGGCACCTGAAAGCCATACTTTCATCACAGAACTGGCCTTTTGATGTCATGACCTCATGTTTCCGGACATTTTGATCACAAGGTCCTATCTTGGAGGTCTTACCCACACAATAGGTGAGATCATGACCAGGCTCATTGAGAAGCGGCTGTGTACACAACAACCAAGCAGCACAGAGAGTGAGGCAGCCCTGTGCCATCTTTGCTTCCACCTTCACACATCTCCTGCTCTGATTTCGGTGTTGAGTTGCATGATCAAGGGCTGGTGATCAAGGTTTGCTTTCTGCATGTCCAAGGGTTCAGATGCCCAGAATATCCTGTAATGGTTGGATTTGGGAATGACCTTAAAGATGATCTCATTCCAACACCCCTGCCATGGGCAGGGACACCTTCCACTAGACCAGATTTCTCAGAGCCACATCCAACCTGTCCTTGAGCACTTCCAGAGGTGATTTTTGACAGGAAGACAATTTCTCAGTTCACATAAACTCGCCTTGTGAGAATCTGGGTATACCTTCTATAAAAGGTTGCTGTGGGTGCAGTGTTGGCCCTCTCCAAAACACGGCACATTGTCACTCTTCACCTGTGTCACAGACAGCAGACAGAGTCATTGACAGCCCAGCTAATTCATCCAGGAGAGGCTGATAAGGAGGCAGGTAGCATGGTCCTTTCCTCTAAACAAAAATATTCCAATGGAGAGTGTGAGGACAGCAAAGGAAGTGCTGAAACATGCAGGGAGTTCGGAGCTGTTGGGTGGCAAACATCTTGCAGAGATTTCGGAAAGCGAGGGAGAATTCAGCTGTTCAACTGTAACATCAGATGAAAGGCTCTTTCCTGCTATGATAAGGGTTAAATAAATACCATTAGATCATCTCTAGCAGCAATTCAAAAGCAAAATGAACCTCTATTAATTGGGGTTAATCCCCCTGTGTTGATGAGAAGTTAACCACGCTCACTGAGCACAAATGACGAACCTTGCTCTCAGTTGCCCTGTGCAGCCCCTGTTTTCAGCACTCAGGACTATGAAGCTGTTAAGTGAGGGCAAAATTTGGCTCAGAAAGTACTAAATCCACGTTGAATGCAGGAGGGGGAGCCCACATTGGAAGCATTATCTTTATCCACCACACAAAACAAGCCAAGTTTTTAACATAAGTTCATAAAAATTTCTCATTACTTTGTCTAGTTCCAGGGATTTAGATTTTAAAATAAGTTTTGAACTGACTGGTATGAGCAGTACACATATATTTAGCAGCAATTGACAAAAGAAAAGAACCCTGTAAATGGAAGTATGTTGCAAAATACTGTGTCTAGCACTGCAAATAACCTCTGTTGAGTCATATTTATGTTCTCAGTGTCTCAGAGAGGAATTTTAATACAAATCTTGATTTTGTTCTACGCACCATATTTTGTTAAATAACCACCTCAACTTACTGCTTGTAGAGGTTTGTGGTGGGCAATCTTTGTGGATAACGAAGCAGAAACATGGCTCTAATGCTCCTGAGCAATGTAAGAGTTGCAAGTCCCACACTTGTACAGTAGAGATTGAAAACAAATGTGTGAAAATCACAGAATCGGTTTCTCAGGCTCAGAGATTAAATATTTTTTAAAATATCGAATGACAGCTTTTTTCAAGTTTCTACAAATATCTAAAGTCAGATTTGTATGTGACACAGCCCACTGCTCACATGGAGCATAATTTTTGTAATCTTTTTATTGCACAAATCTACTCAATGTGATTCCCATTAAGTTCAGAAAACAGAAATTTGCTCATTTCCACACTGCTGACAGAGCATTCAAAATAACCCCAACAGATGAGCCAAATCTCAGGTCAGAGCATGATCCCTGAGTTTATGTCCTAAGGATAAAACTACCAGGAAGGATTTTTCTTTTCTGCAGAGAGTGAGAGCTCAGCTGCCACATTCACAGTGACTATGCCATGCTATCACATGTTTGAAGACTTCAGGAGAAAGAATCTGGTCAGCTGAAGAGTTGATGGGAAAAAGAAGTGGGAGATGGATAGGGCAATAATTATTACATAGTCTCCTTGAAAATTAGATCCCTCAAAGACATAAAATGCAGCCCTCAGGATCCTCCTGATCTCAGGATCTGACTCAGAGGCATTTATTCCCTAGGTCAATAATCCTGGATTCCTGAGACTTGGCGTCAGGACATGGTACTTGTCCTAGGCAGGGGTAAAGGTGAAAAAACCCCTTCTCCCACCATAATCAGATAACAGCAATTATGCAAGAGGGAGTTCTCATGGGAACAGTTTTGTCTCAAACTCCCATGGCTTTTTTTTTTTTTTTTTTCTCTGCAGAAATGGAAGATACGGGTTTCTGAGAAAGGGCCTGCTGCCTGTAGTTTTCTCAGAGGGATATGAGGGCGCTGGAGAATAGAACTTAGGCAGAAAGAGGAAAATTCTCATTAAACAGAGTTTTTCAGTGATCTATTTTCCCTTCACTACAAAATTATGTGGTGAAGTTTCCTGACAGAGACCCTGATTCAGGAAGAATTTGCATGTGATTGACAATGAAAAGCACCTCAGTACCGAGACTGGATTGAGGAGAGGAGCTCAAAAATCCCTGTGGCTCCTTCCTCTCTTTTCCTGAGTGCCCACAGAGATTCGAGGATGACAGTGGCACCCTAAAGGGAGATCAGGGACAGAACAGCTCCAGAACAGATTTCTCCATTCACAACAGTCAGGCAAAGGCAGCACAAGGACAACTCCATCATTGCAGAGGCTGATCCAGGGCATGCCCTTCATCTCCATCCACAGGATCTCAAAGAGAAGGATCTGTAATGCCATTTCATAAACCAGCTGTAGGGAATATCAAGACAATGCTGCAATGGTCTGGACCTGGTTCACACAAACTGGTGGGATTTTGTAGCAGTGTTTGCTGTTGAACAGTTTATTTGAATCCAGAATGCACAGGAAAAAAAATATGGGAATAGTGGAAAGTGTCTAAATCACTTATAGAACTAATAAATACTCAGCTTCATTCTGATCTCATGCAGGTTTAATGTCTGACTTCAGTGGGATTAGTCCCAGTTTTTACTGATACAATAAACCTCAGAATTACATCTGTGACATTTGAAAGCAGGTGGCTGGGCTCTGTGTGAGCACAGACTCTCAATTTCTGTGTGGCTTGTCGCTGCTGCCCCATGAAGGAATTATTTAATGGCATAGATTATAGGGACCTACACTTCCATGCTTTAAATTACCTCTGTCCTGCTCAGAGGATAATTCTTGATGGCTCTCAGACTGATTCAATGCAGCTCCTCAGGCAAATCCTGGGGGTTTTCCATGCCACCAGCTAAGCAACCTTCCCTGAGAACCACAATGCAGAGAATTTAACATCAACTCTGATTCTTGCTTCAGATGGAACTTCAGTGGCTTGGTTTTGTTTGAAGAAACGATGAGAAATCAAAGTTAGATGTGCAGGTGCTGGCATTCAAAATTAAATTCTGAAATCCATAACTACTGCCAGCACAAGAAAACTGGGAGAGGAAGGTAGCGTGTGCACTCTGCAGGCTATGTGAAGATGCTCTTGTTGAGAAACAAAACTGTTTTAGGCGACAGCAGTTTATTTGGAGCAAAGACAAACATCCCAGTCCTGCTGAACAGTGTGTTTCTTTCTAGTTCACCAGAGAGTTCATGTTTTTGACTTTCCCAAGCCTTTTTCATTAGGTATTATTGAGCATACATATTTTACTGCATTAGAAACATTCCAGAACTACAACCTGAAATAAACTGAAATGATTGATCATGGTTTAGCATCAGGTTCTGAATTTTAAAGCCTCCACCAGCCTTCAATAATGGCTCAGTTTGCAAATACAGCTTGATTTTGTGGCTAGGAAAATTTCCTTGAGATTTTTCTCTTCATCTGCTTTTCCATATAATCTTCATAAATACCAGAGATTTTACAGTGCCTAAGCATAATCTGAAGTGTCCACTTCTGTCAGCCCTGAGGTCATCCATTCTCCCATGAATTGTTTATTAAATATTCCATTGCCACAAGCAATGGTTTGCTCAGTGGGAACAGTGCAGGCTCCACGAGTGAATAGCTACAGTTCAGGAGGTGAATTCAGACCATAACACAAAAGCTGATATCAAGAAATTCACTGGAAAGCCAGAACTGGAGTTTAGAAAAAACCAACTTTAGCAGAGAAAAGCAGAAAATGAGGAAAAACAAAATCCAGAAGTTTGCAAACTTAGGGAAAAAAATAAGCTGACCTTTGATAATAGCAGTAATTGGGGTTTTTTCCCCTCAGAGGGTTCATCCCCCTCTGCCTTGCAAAATCCATTTGTTTCCCAACAAAATAAAATAGCAACCAAAAAAAAAAAACCCACAAACAAACAAACAACAAAAAAAAAAAAAACCCCAAAAGAAACAAAAAAAAGAAACAAAAAAAAAAGGAAAAAGGATTTACTGAGAGCCAGTTCCATAGCTTGGTCTGCATTAATGTGGATTTAATTCACTCTTGATCCAAAATAACCCTTAAGTTCATTTCCAGTTTTAAAGGAAAAAGAGCTGTCAAGAAGCTGGTTGGCAAGATTAACCCTGTGCTTAAATCTGAGCACATGCTCAAATGTTTTTAGGGATCAGGGTAATAATAAGGTTCATTAGTAATTTTATTCCTGGAATTTATAGTTTTTCACTAAGAAAACCCCAAATGGAACAATAATCTGATCAAGTCTCTTAGTTCCTATCCTACAAATTTTGCTTTAAACTCCTAGGGTAAAAGAAGTACAAAAGATTATCTGTGAACATATAAGGCTTGATCCAAAAACCATGGAAGTTTGCAAAAAGCTTCAAAAAATTTCTAGTGAGTCTAGTGAGTTATGTGCTTGATAATTGAACCATGGCCAATAAAACACCATGAATTTATAGGGCAATGAAAAGAACACACCAAATAAAACTGATCATCCACTGTTTTTAGAAATCAAAGCACAAAATTAGCAGTAAAGTGTTTGGCAGCACTTCACAAATTCTCCCTTGAAAAAAGTCATTCAAATGGACTTAGATGTGAATGCAATTGCCTGCATGGGGTGCTGGGGAAAGGGAAGGCAGTTGAATGCAGAGATAACTGGGAATGCTGGGGAAAAAGTCACTCTGTGGATAACTGTGGGAACAGCTTCAGACCTGGGGTGAAGTTATCGAGGCCACCTCAGTGACTGAGGTGCTCACTTCAATGTCTTAAGGCAGATTGGATACTTCCATTCAAATGAGGGGTTTGACAGCAGCACTTTCTAAAAGGTGGTGAGAAAACAAAAACACTTTTCGGTAATGATGAGAGATCACTTTCTCCTTGCTTTGTACCTCTTATTCCAATACTTGGTTGAAGGTTGCTACAACTACAGGTGACTATTTTAGTGGCATTCCCAAAGAAAGTATTTCTCTGAATTCTCCTGGTCCAACATGCACTGACAGGCTAAAAGCAGAAACTGCTTATGAGGAGAAAGGGTGCTGGGCTGACTGAGAGGGATTTTTGAGACTGATGAAGTGAAGTGCCCAGAAAACATGAATCCAGTTCTTAATGGAATTAGCTTTCCCTTAAAAGAATAACAAATAGAATTTCTCATCACAGGTAAATGTACATTTATATAGTTACTGATTCCCTTTCACCCTATGTGAGTTTTAATTTTTTTTTTTTTTTTTAATGAACCTACTCTGTAATTCCAGAAGCTTCCAATGGGCTGGAAGACTTGTCCTTAGTATGGGTTACCTACAAATCCCAGCATTTCAAATTAAGATATTCTGTCAAGGGGAAGTCCCAGGTGCTTTAAGAACAAGTGGGAGCTCTGAAAATGAAGTTAAAGCTGTCAACACTGACCAAAAATCAAAGGGCTCATAGGACAGAGATGGAAATCTCAGGAGAAATGGCTTCAAATGAGGGAAGGGAGAGAGCAAGGAGAGGGGAAGAGACAACTCCATTGTACTTTTGGCAGTGGGAACAAAATGCCAATCCTCAAATGTGCAGTTGACAATAGAGATGATGAATTGAGTTCAAGAGAATGACCCATTTCTGGGCTGGGCAGGTGACAGGATCCACCAGCTCTGGGAGACTGACCAAGGTTAAGTGTTAGCTGGAGCCAAGGAGCTGCAGGCCACCCACGCAGATCAAGTGGGAAAGAGCTAATGGGAAAGACATTTTGGGAGTTAAAAATACAACCGGTTCCTAAATCTGGGAACACAGAGCTGTAAAATAACAGCTGGACAGCAAGGCAGAACAAAGTTCTCGATGCTGGAGTGAAAGGTGGTTGAATGGAAAGGCTTGATCAGAACAGGCCCTCAGCCAGGATGGCTACATGTGGAGAAAGGCAGAGCCTCTGAGATGGCAGCACAGCACCTTTCCCACAGGCTGGGGCAGCAGCCTTCAAAGTAACAATGAAATATTAGACGCTTTAAAAGGATTTCCCACTAAACTGATGTTGTTCCCATAACACAAGCCAAGGAGTAGGAAGGCAGCACATCAAAACAAGTTTGCATGCACTTGGGAACAGGCATCTCTTCTGCACCAAGCGATGCTTTCCTGTAAAGGCAACATTTGGGCTGCGAGTACATGGAAAAATCTTCCTATGGCACCTGCACCAAAAGCATGAGGCTGAGAAAGTAGCCTTCACTGCTGGTGGTGTTTGAAGTGATTCACAAAACCCAAGGGCATGTCAGATCTTGCAGGGATGAGCACTCCCATTCTGCTCCAGTGTCCAGCTGAACCACTTCCACTGCTCCAAGGACAAAACCTGGCCCCACCATTTAGGACTGCTGTGACTGTCCATGAGGCAGCAGCACCCTGGGGCTGAGAAGGTTGGGGGTGTCCTGGGGGACATCAGGAAGAGCAGTGCCAGCATGTCAGGGGTGATCCTGCTCCTGTGCCCAGCCTGTGTGGCACATCTGCAGGGCTGTGTCCAGTTCTGGGCCTCTCAGCACAGCAGGGCCATGGAGCTCCTGCAGCGGGGCCGGCGGAGGCTGCAGAGATGATTCAGGGCCTGGAGCATCCCTGGCAGGGAAAGGCTGAGGGAGCTGGGGCTGTGCAGCTGGAGAGGAGCCCCAGCTGAGAGGGGCCCTCAGCCCTGGGTGTCCCTGGCTGCAGGGAGGGCTCCGAGCAGGGCCCAGGCTCTGCTCTGGGGGCCCAGCAATGGCACCAGAGCCACGGGCAGGGACTGAGCCCAGGAGGTTCCACCTGGGCAGGAGGAACAACTTCTGTCCTGGGCAGTGACCCAGCACTGAGCAGATTGTCCAGAGAGGCTGTGGAGTCTCCTCACTGGGGATATTCCAGACCCCTCTGGACACAATCCTGTGCCCTGTGCTCTGGGATGGCCCTGCTGGAGCAGGGAGGTGGCACCAGTGACCCACTGTGGTCCCTTCCAGCCTGAGCCATCCTGGGATTCTGAGATTCTGTGTGGGTAGTGGCTGGCCCAAGGCAGAGCACAGACTGAAGTGTGCAACAATTCAGGATTGCAGAGCTCTCCTGCATGTCAGTTCAGAAGCACAACCTACACAAGGCAGGCACGATGCAGTCACGGCTGATGTAAGGGGTTAAATTCTCATCTGTCAGCAGCACCTCTGCTGGAGAGTGAGCTCTGCGAACACTCAAACCACCACAGAAGAATCACAGGTCACAAGATCCAGGCTCAAGAGCTGAAAACACTCTGACCACTTCCCAAGCATCACATTTTGTAGCAGCACAGGAACCTGATTCTATCTGCATCCCTGTACTCTCCCTTATGCCAGGTCAGCATTCCCCACTACTGCACCCTTTATTTTCTTTTTTTTTTTTTTAAACTGATGTACATGACAAATGAAGAACAGGGACAGCTTCTGCAGTTTTCTGCCTTACAGTCTTAACAGGTCTTCCTAAATCCCCTGAAAAGCTTGGAAGAGGCACAAAGCAGAAAATGACTGTCATCGTGCAGTGTAACTGTTTGCTTTATGATGTAATAGCCACTACTCACATTTTTTCCCTGGGATAAACTGTTGGCATTCCAGAAGAAAAGGGTAGATTCCTGAGCTTACTTATGAATTTCCTGCAGGCTAACCACATTGATAAAAAAGACTCTGTAAATCCCCTGCTGCTATATTATTTTGTAGGCAAGCCTATCAGCTCTTTCAATTAAAACTTTTGTTTTCTGTTGGAAATCAGGCTTCCAAATTCACTCCCTTTTCTTGCAAATACTACTCTTTATTATTTCAAAGTTATTATTCCAGTATACTCATTACCAAAGTATCATTACATATTACTAGGATATTCAGGAACTAGTTTTAAACCATTCAGTGGCATCCAGATTTTTAGCTGACATAATATGGGATGTATCTAGGGTGGCAACATTCAGTGCTGCTGTTTAGTGACTCAGTGCATGACAGAGGTCTGAGAATTGACATTTGTTTGACACTTGTTTCCTTCAGCTCTCGTGCTTCTTTCTACCTTCAGCTGCTACCTCTGCCTTATATTTTCAAATCCAAGACTACTGCAAAATGAACTTCATTTATGCAATAAACAGAGCACCTGTCAGGCACCTGTTTTAAGCATTTACCACTGACAGTGAAGCTGCCTGAGCTACAGAGAAAAACAAAAATATCCCTTCAGATTGCAAAAGAAAGAGCTTTCAGAAGTTTGCTTAATCGATGTAATCTGTCAAAGTGTTGCATCCTGGAATAGACCCTGCTCTTCAGTATTAGAGAACAGAGATAATTTTTCAAAGCTGTGGACATTCATACCACAAACAACATGTTACAGCATTTTCACCATGATCAGACACAAAAAAAAAAGCCAGACTTACCTCTGGGTGAGGCTTTTTGGATCATCACATGTGTGAGCTGCAGAGGTGGAAGGAGAGGCATGTGGAAAAGCAGGACAGGGACTAACCAGAACATGCACCCAGCAGTCAGCACTTGCAAAATGGCCACGGGAAGACTGGAGCAGTTCAGCTCTGCTAGACTTAAAGGGACAGATTTCCACAAGCACACGGGCAAAAGCCTCTGGAAAAGCACCATTCCCTGCTGGGGGAAGGGGGGAAGGCAGGCCCTGGTCCTGGAAATATTGAAGCACGTCTTTAAGCACTTGAAAACTGCTGTGGACTTCGGTCTGTGCAGCCCTGGACTCGATTTACTGATGTGCACCAAGTTACCCAGGGAGGGGATGCTCCAGCAGAGTGCTGGTTACAGCTCTGTTGTAGAAGGAGTGAGGTGCCATCACTGCTGAGTTACTCTGAAGAGTGCTAAGACACATTCCAGAAGTCCAGAAAGGAAAGAAAATATAATATAATAATCAAAATGCGCCCTAAAAAAAAAAAAATCTCAAGTCATTGCAACAAACATTGCTCATGTATTCACCCTGATATTTCTAGTTTGTTTTTTCAGCATGATACCCACAATAGCTGCCCATCTAATTGAAACATTTCCAAAGCATTTTGAACTGCTCAAAACAAGTGAAAATAACCCAAATTACAGATTTACAGCTCCCCTCTCCTCTATGGCTGAATTACTGTATCAAATATTTAACAGTGAGAGCAGAAACACCCCAATGACAAGGCACAGGAGATTGTGAAGACACCAAATCAATATCAGCAGGATTCAAAAGAGAGCCTCCCCTTAGCTTTGCTGCCCAAAATTGTCATAGCATGGCTGCATAGGACAACTGGAGCCTCTACAGTGTCCCCCAGACCTTTGTACACCACAAAGGACCCCAAAACAATACATATGATGAACATTTTTTGTCATGAGAGGTGGCATCATGACTTTGGGACAGTCAGAAGGGGATTTCTGCAGCTATGGGATATGAATAAACAACACATTTGGGCTCAGGCTTGGTCTGAAGCAGCTCTTCTGCATCTTCTGCATCATAGAATCATTGAATCATAGAATCGTAGACCCATAGAATCATAAAATCATGGAGTGGTTTGGGTTGGAAGGGATCTTAAAGATCACCTTGTTTCAACCTTCTTGGAAAAAAATAAAGACATGGTGTTGTTGATGGGATTTATTTGCTCATATTGGATCATATAACTAGTTAAAGTCTGAAAGAATTGAAACCCTGGTGCTTTTTTCATATTTTCCCCTGCAATTAGAAGTTAATCTTACCTGTTTTGATGATGCCATCATTTTCTTCCTGACACTGAGTTTACTCTATGTCCTGCTTGTGTTTCTACAAATATGAAATCAACATTAAGGTCAAAATTGTAGATATTTTACTTTGTAAAACTTCATTAAATTCATATCACCAAATAAACCCCCGTGTATGCAATAAATCACACTTGCACACAACCCATAAACCACTCATCTTTGATTGCCTCCAGACACAGGAGGCTGTGACCCACTCAAACATCTTAGCACCAGAGGAATTGCCCTGCAGGTTTCATCTGCTGCAAGATGTTTCAGGAAACATGGTGGGGTTTTTTTCCCCCACTAATTTAAGTGCCCTGAAAATGTCACGAGACTCATTCTGCTCCTGCTGTGAGCACTAATTTGTTCTGTGCCAGTCAGCTCAGTGACGGTGACACTAGACCTCAGTTTCCCTTGCTTAGTTGAAGTAGTTCCCACTCCATGTTTTGTGTGATTTGTAGCTTTATTACAGTGTTAATGTGTAATTATGTATATGCATATTTTATATTTTTATTGTATATGTATATTTTTACAGAGTTAATATGTGATTATGTATATATTAATGTAATCATGACTGGTTACATGCTATTGACATGCCATGAAAGCTTGCCAGGGGCAACTTAACATTGGGTTCTTAGTGAATATCTGGGCCTGAAACTGTTTTTCCTTATACTACGTTCGCACTGGAGCAGCAGCAATGTTGGAGTGAGATTAGAAGAGATCCATGGTCTGCATACTACAACCAAGAACAACCATGAGGAAAATCAGGTGGAGTGATGGATGTTGAACATATGGCAGCTGGAACCCGAATTTTGCATTTAATATTATGCATTTCAAACATTACTAAGAGGGTAAACATTCATGGATTCTGCAATCAATAATGAGGCTAAATTTATAATCTCAAGACTTCATAATAGAAATTCAAAGGCAATCACTTAAGAGGACTTCTTTATAGCCTGTCATTAAAACAAATGTTCCTCATAGGGCATTAGTACAGGTGGGAAGAAATTACCATGCAGAGATAAGAAAACCAGACAGGAAATGTTCCAATGATTGTTTTAAATATCTCTGGGTGAGGTAGCAGATAAACAGGGCTATGGAACTTCTGAGAGTTTGAAGCCTTTTGCTTTCTGAGCCAGACTGCCCTTTCCACAGATACACTCCTTAAAAAATTAGGTACCAAAAGATTTATTGGTTGGAAAGAGAAAAAGTTTTAAAATAGTTTTCTTCATTGCTTTAACATGAAGCAAATCCCAGTGTGTTTGTATCCCTGGACATGAGGGCAGATTAAGATTATTCCATGCTTTGATAGAACAAATCCCTTTATAGCCTTCTTTAAAGTTTGGTTTAGTTGTGTAAAATTTGGATTTTTGCTCCCTTCAATGTCTAGACAATTTGGATTTTTCACTGTATTGGAGCTTAAAAATTCGTCTTTTTTTTTTTTTTTTTTTTTTTTTTTTTTCTGTATCAAATGCTGTTATATGCCACATTAGGTGATGTACTCCACACACAATAATGATCCCTGGTGTGCAACTTCCTGCAGCCAGGGATGTGTCCAGCAAGGCTCTGCACACAATGGAAGTGCTCTTTAGCATATAGTTGCCTGGTTTAGATGATGTGAAATTGCCTCTTCACTGATTTACAGGGGTAAATAGGTTTCTGTAAAGGCCATTGGCTGAAAACCAGCAAGATAAGGAAGGAGATAAAGTAAATGGCAGCAGAAACCTGTAATATTTGTGAAAGGAAAAGAGAGGAAGCAAAAGAAGCAGCCCTGATGGAGGAAAAAAGAGATTTCCCATCTAGTGAAGACAACAGTCACTTGCTTGAGAAAGCAGAGACAAGCAGACAACAGCAGGAGAAATGTTTCCATGGGTTCTCATAGAAATGGGACCCAGTTTTCTTTGGCGAGTGAATTTGCTGCAATAGCCAAATGTCTTCAGAAACAGCTTCTCCTCTGGTAGCTGTCTTTTGCTTAACCTCCCTCCAAAAAGCATCTATAAAGCTCTGTGATCATTGGAGCCATCCCAAGTGCAATCAGTTAGATAAGGCAGCGTCCATTCCAGCCTGGCCACTTGTTGTGACAAACTTGGTCACTCCAAGCTCTGTGCAGGAGCAACTCCTGGCTGCCTCCTGCACGGCAGGGCATCATGGGCTGGCTGCTCACCCACAGCCCAAGGGGTTTACCAAGAGCTCAGCCCAGCTGCAGAGCCCAAAGGGAAAGCCCTGCTCTCAGATCTGCAGGGCTGACCTCAGAGCCCCACTGTTGGAACTCAAAATGTCCCTCAGACATTTTTGGAGGTTCCGGGTCCAGGTCAGAAGCATTTGAGACCCTGGCAGGCAGCTGGAAACAGCTGTGATTTTGAGTTTGAGCCACAGAATGATTTACCAACTTTGCAGGAAGAACAAGAAGTCACAAAAGTTTAGCTAGTATAGTAGAAGTAGTCACAAAGTAAAGGGAAGAATTTTTTAGTGTTGTACAGGGGGGTTTTAACACCTGTACAGGGGGGTTTAACACCTGCACAGGGGGGTTTTTACTTTGTACATGGGGGTCAGAGGCTTTAAGATGGAGGGATTTTTGGCAGGCCCTGTCCTTCCTCTTTCTTCTTCCTTACTTCCATGTTCTTGGTGATGTTGGCACACACAGATTGGTTTAGAGTAGAAAAGCACCATTTAATATAGGTAGTAGGTATCGGGGAAAAACTGTAAGCATTTATCACATAATGTATCACATAAAAGATAACAGCAGCCCTGGGCGGGGGGGAGAGAAGAAGAAGTCAGGGGACAGAGAGGATGTCAGGGTGTGTGTGTGCTCTGCCTGAGCTGCTGAGCAAACCACAGTAGCCAGAGAAGAAAATCTTTTAGATAGCTTACAATAAACTGCCTTGAGACCGAACAACAAGAGACTGCTGATCCTTTCTTTGGAAGCACGGGTTGGAGGAGGGAGTTTTCCACCACATGGAGCCCCGAACCAGGCCTGGGTTCCGTCACCCCACGTCTGCGAATGCTGGGAAAAAGGAAGAGAGCAACAGGTGAAGAAGCAGCAGTTCCCCACAAGCAGTTTGCCCACGTGCATGTTGCACCTGATGTTTGGTGGGAGGAGGGAAGAGGCTGAGGTACAAGAAGACATCAGTCTCTAGAGTTTCATTCCACAAGAAAGGGTTTTCCTTCAAGGGCATACATCAAAGTTCCTAGATAGCTGCATTTTAAATCCATCACTTAGAATGAGCTAATAGAAGGGAAAAGTCTCTGGGGGCACACACTGGTTCATGAGAGAAAATTTAATGTCTCTTTTATTTCCCCTCTTTTCTCTTGTTCATCTCTGTGATAAGGATTTAATTTTTTTTCAAATATGAAACAAAAGGATTTATTCTTTCTTTAGGATGGAAATTCATGGAAGCTTGACATTTATTGTAAAGGGGGCTAGGAGTTCATCTGGAATTTATTTATTTATTTATTTATTTAAATTTAGATATGCCTGGCATTTCATGGGAAAGGGCTGGTGGTTTCCCTGTCAGACAGGCCAGGGAGCCAGCTCAGGATCCCCACCCCTCAGAAAGGCCACTTTTCTGCCTCCCCACCATGTGCACACTTATCAGAACAGAAGATGCATTCCCATTTTGCCTATTCCAACTCTCAGCACTCTGGTTTGAATTCTTTTCGCCATTCCCCAGAGGAATTATAAAACAACCTTGACCATAATCACATATGACCTTTGCTTTCGGATACCTCTCTTTCCAAGGCGTGACATGGTTTTGGTGGATATTAACAGTGTAATTGGAATGACTCCGTCTAACATCATTGTGGACAGGTTTATTTGTTCAGCACAGAGAGTGAGTGTTCAGCTCCTTCTCAACATGCTCAGAACTGCCAAAATCATTCCAAAAATAACAGAGGTCCTAAGCATCCATAGATGCTTCAGTTTCAAGGTGAAGTTACTCTGTCAAAGCTTTCAATCAGACTTCTGCCTAATAGCCTTTGCTTTCTGCCTTTTGAGAGTCAAAACAAATATTTTGGTCTGAGAAGCAAAAAATGAGCGGGTAAATCTTTAATGACCAGGACAGTTCCAGACAGCTTGGAAGGCAATGGAAAAACTCCCCCTGGCTTTGGTAAGGTAGAGGTGAAGCTGCAAGCCAAGGAAGAGCACAAAGGACTGCCATAACAATTCCTGCCTTCAGAAAGGATAAAAGCAGTTCTGCAGGGCTTTTGGCTTTCCTGCTTCATTTAAGAGTCTATATTTGGCAATGGAAAATAGCCCTATTTAGAGAATTTTGTAAACAATGTTCGTTATAGGCAATGAATTTTTTCCATCGCCTATATATAGTTATCTGA